CTCCAGTACCCCATTTCCAGCAGCCAACTGACACCCAAGCCCCAGCAATGAGCTGAAGAGCCAGGGGGCTTTGAACCAAGTTTAAAAAGAAATGGGTTTCACTAAAAATCCTTCCCAACCCTTTCTGCAGCACCGTGGCCTTCAAAGCCTGGCTACCCCCGGAGCTCTGCGCCCAGGGGGCAAAAGGGTGCGAGGCAGCGAACCCCGGTTTCTTTCCCCGAGCCTGTGCCCCCTGCTCTGCCCACCCTCTGTGGCAGAGCCCCCCAAGGCATCCTCACCCGCATCCCTGCTCGCAAGTCACCGGGCGCTTTGGATTGTGCTCGCAGTCATTGAGGTGAGACATCAGGTTGTCAAGTCGCACAACTGCCGTACAGCCGAAAACAGCGTTGTCGCAAGTGATCTGCAGCTTCGAGAGCATATTACGCATGATCCGCGGGACGGGGCGGAGGTGGGCAACCGTCACGACGCTGCGGTCCACGGGGCACGTCTGCTGCTGGGAGAACCACTGGGTGATGCAGGCATTGCAGAAGGCGTGCTCGCAGTGAGGAGCCTGCGGAGGGGCAGAGAACAGCCACGCATTACTCAGACCCGGCGGGGAAGTGTTTGCTGGCTCGCGTGTAGAGGACAACCTTGACCAGAGAAAGGCTCTCAGTCTTCGAGGGATGCACAGCAGCTACGTGCTGCCTTGGGGGAGGGAAGCAAAGGGAAGAGGCACCTCCATTACACAAGCAAGATGCCCGCACAGGGGAATGAGACACCAAAACCAGACCTGCAAAGATCAGAGCCACGCACAGCACCTTCCACTACAACGCAAGAGGCACTGCTGCAGAGCCATCCCCCCTTCCCTTGGAAAAGCAGGTGCCCACCTTCATCCACCTCTGATTTTAATTTGTGTGCCCAGCCCCACCAAGGTACTCTCTTCCCCCCAGACACGTGGTGTCTTGCGAGCAGATCAGCTCAAAAGGACAGAGCATGGACCCCTCAGAGCAGTGCTCCTGCTCTGCTCCGGCCCAGGTAGTGCTGCCTCCTGAAAGGGCTGAGGGGGCAAGACAGATCGGGATGCTAAACTTAAACATTTTTCAGGGCAGACTAGAATGTTACTTCACTGTATTTACACAGCTGGGCTCTGCTCTCGCATTCAAGCTGCGGTTGAGAGAGTATCAAGATTGGGGAAGGGGAGCGGGACACACGCCAGCTCTTTGGACAACACCGAGCTTTCTTCCACAGAGCAGAAACCCAGAGTTACAGGAAGGTCAGACGCATTCGGAGCTAAGTCTCATTTACAAGCTGTTCCCTCAGCGCTCAGTGCCTTGCAGGCTGCTTGCACCAGCCGACAAAGGCAGGCGAGGATTGCAGGACGTATTCTGAATTAGGGTTCGCCCATTCAAGATCCAGGACCATCCTGGGAGTTTTAGTGCAGCTTCTGTGGCATCGCAGCTCGAGCCAACCAGCCCAGCCCAGCGTCTCTGAGCCAGCGGGCAGCTGGGCCTGTGTCAGACGAGGCAGCACG